AACATTCCATGCTCATGGATAGGATGGATAGGAAGAGTCAGTATTGTGAATATGGCCATACTGCCCAAAGTAATGTATAGATTCAATGATATCCCCATCAAGCTACTGTTGACTTTCTTCACAGAATTACTAAAAACTACATTAAATTTCATATGAAACCAAAAAAGGGCCCATATAGCCAAGAGAATCCTAAGCAAAAAGGACAAACCTGGAGGCATCACACTACCTGGTTTCAAACTATACTACAGTATAGGCTATAGTAACCAAAACAGCATGGTACTGGTACCAGAACAGATATATAGATCAACGGAACAGAACAGAGGACTCAGAAATAACACCACACATCTACAACCATCTGATCTTTGACAAACCTGACACAAACAAAAACAAGCAATGAGGAAAGGATTCCCTATGTAATAAATGGTGTTGGGAAAACTTGCCAGCCATATGCAGAAAACTGAAACTGGATCCCTTCCTTACACCTTATACAAAAATTAACTGAAGATGGACTAAAGACTTAAACATAAGACCTAAAATCATAAAAACCCTAGAAGACAACCTAGGGAATACCATTCAGGACATAGGCATGGGCAAAGATTTCATGTCTTAAACAGCAAAAGCAATGGCAACAAAAGCCAAAATTGACAAATGGGATCTAATTAAAGAGTTTCTGCACAGAAAAAGAAACTATCATCAGAGTGAACAGGCAACCTACAGAATGGGAGAAAAGTTTTGCAATCTATCCATCTGACAAAGGGCTAATATCCAGAATCTACAAGGAACTTAAACAAATTTACAAGGAAAAAAAAAAAAAAAAACCAGCCCAGTCAAAAAGTGGGTGAAATATATGAACAGACATTTCTCAAAAGAAGACATTTATGTGGCCAACGAACATGAATAAAAGCTCATCATCAGTGATCATCAAAGAAATGCAAATCAAAACCACAATGAGATACCATCTCACAGGAGTTAGAATGGCAATCATTAAAAAGACAGGAAACAACAGATGCTGGAGAGGATGTGGATAAATAGGAACACTTTTACACTATTGGTGGAGTGTAAATTAGTTTGACCATTCTGGAAGACAGTGTGGTGATTCCTCAAGGATCTAGAACCAGAAATACAATTTGACCCCGCAATCCTATTACTGGGTATATACCCAAAGGATTATAAATCATTCTACTATAAAGACACATGCACACATACGTTTATTGCAGCACTGTTCACAATTACAAAGACTTGGAATCAACCCAAATGCCCATCAATGATAGACTGGATTAAAAAATGTGGCACATATACACCATGGAATACTATGGAGTCATAAAAAGGATGAGTTCATGTCCTTTGCAGGGACATGGATGAAGCTGGAAACCATCATTCTCAGCAAACTAACACAGGAACAGAAAACCAAATACCGCATATTCTCACTCATAAGTAGGAGCCAAACAATGAGAACTTATGGACACAGGGAAGGGAACACCACACATCAGGGCCTGTTGAGGTGTGGAGTGCTAGGGGAGGTATAGCATAGGAGAAATACCTAATGTAGATGACGGGTTGATGAGTGCAGCAAACCACCATGGCATGTGTATACCTATACAACAAACCTGCACATTCTACACATGTATCCAGATCTTAAAGTATTATAAAGAAAAAAAGAAAAAATTTTAAAGATGTTGCTGATCCTTTGTTTTGTTTTTCAGAGGCAAGAAAACTTTTTCTTTTGAGCTATTGACAGCTTTTTACAAATAAGTATACTCCCATGAACAAAATTTGGAGCCTATTTGTTTCTCTCTAACTTATTTCTCCAGAATTTGGAAACTATTTGTGAGTATTCTTAATTTATGGAAATACAGTTATTTATATAAGTGCAATAAGAATTTGTTTTCATTTGTAACAGGACACAATTGGAGAAACTGGTTATTTTACCAAGGCTTTGACTGGAATGACGTGCTTTCCTTTAAAGAATCAAACTTGCCCTATAGAGCCAGTAAAAGATTTTTGGGAAAACTGGCCTTATACCTTGTCTACACAGTCCCTGTACAGGGTTCCTGAACTGTGGTAAATAAAGAATGTCACTTTATGACAGGCCCAGGGCCCCAAGTTATCTTGGGACTGCAAGGGGAGAAGAATTCACCCAACTCATAGGTATTTGATGGTACAAAACATGGCTGGGTAGCTTGAGGCAGGAGAATCACTTGAATCTAGAAGGCAGAGGTTGCAGTGAGCCGAGACTGCACCATTTGACTCCAGCCTGGGTGACAGAGCGAGACTCTGTCTCAAAAAACACCCAAAAAACAAAAAACAAAGGCTGATCTGAGATGCCTTCTATGGAATATAGTTCCATCAAAGTCAATTTAAAAAGCCTATGTGAAAAATAATTGTTCTTGCTGCACTTTATATAAATAATCTGGCTAAGTACAATAAAGCAAATCAGTTCTACCATGATGTGTCTTTAGTAAAAACGGGAAACTGGAGAGAGAAAAATTATGTTTCAAAACTATTGTTGGATTCTAGTCTTGCCTAACGTTTTTCAATTTTTATTATTTTCTACAATTTGGACTGCATTCTAATGTTTCTTGGCTAAAAGTCTTCAAAATAATGTTTTCATTTTTTTCCCCTTCTTTTTCTCTCATTTTTCCTCATTTGGAGTCACTGAAAACTAAGCTGTGTTTTTGTAAAGCCCTGTGAACTGATGCTAGATAACTTAAACTTCAGAAGAAAATAACAGCAACCTGTTTACATAAGTAAGTCACTTTCAAACCTGCTTCAGAGTAATGTGGACTATATTGATTTACCAGGATTGTTCTTTTATTTCTTGCTGTTTTTCTCTCTCCCCCTGTTTTCCCTGCATAGGATGTGAGACTTCTCAACTTGCTAAAAATGAGCTTTCCTAATAACTTGGGACCTAACTGTCTAGGAATAAACCATATTAGCCATGAGAGGCCAGATGAAACCTGACACCAGAGACTCATTTTCTTCTAAAATGCTTTCTCCAAAGATTTTAAAAAAGAAAAGGGGGGAAATGTGAAAGGAAAGTAAATCTTGAAAATCTTGGGGCCCCCAAAATCACTAATCTAAAGGGAAAAGTCAAGCTGGGAACTGCTTAGGGCAAACCTGCTTTCCATTCTATTCAAAGTCATCCCTCTGCTCACTGAGGAAAATGCATATCTGATTGCCTTCTTTGGAAAGGTTAATCAGAAACTGAAAAGAATGCAACTGTTTGTCTCTCACCTACCTGTGACCTGGAAGCCCCCTCCCTTCTTGAGTTGTCCCTCCTTTCTGGATGAAACCAATGTACATCTTACATATATTGATTGATGTCTCATGTCTCCCTAAAATATATAAAACCAAGCTGTGCACCTTGGGAAAATGTTATTAGGACCTTCTGAGGCTGTGTAACAGGTGCACATCCTCCACCTTGGCAAAATAAACTTTCTAAATTAACTGAGACCTGTCTCAGATTTTTGAGGTTCATAAACTTCTCTGCAGAATAATGTAAGACCTTCTCCTCATTGAGGGTAGGGTGACATTCTGCATATTACATTACATTTCTTTTCAGGAAGAATGAATTTTTTTCTGGGGGTGTCAAAGGGTTTGCATCCTACTCTCTGAGTCAAGCATTCACGTTTAGGGATTGTTTCATTCAGGAGAATGAGAAAAGATCACTCTATAGCATGGATGTTGAAATGGGGGCTAAGGAGAAAGAAGCTCTCTAAGATACCTCACCGTGGGGCCAGAATTATTAACTGTAAAGATAGTTATGGTTAGCAGGAATATTTAGTAGTTTTTTCTCCTTTCATTATAACTTTTTTCTCTACATCAAGCCCTTAGTTATGTCTTACTAAATGTTATAGTACAGTAGGGAAGTTTAAAAGAAATAAGGGTCAGGCTTATGTTCACAGGCCGATGAACACCTTGGGGAGTATAGCCACTTGGGAGATCCTGTTACTGTATGGACTGGTGGACTGCAGAAGAAGGAGGCAACTGTTTGGAGCAGGACCAGCAGCAGACACAGCTTTCAGAAAGAGGGACATGTTCTGGACCGTGTGAGCATTGCCCAGATTCATAGAAATATAGGCCAGAAGAACCCTGATGGAGCATAGACTTCTTGATGATAAGAAGAATTGGGTTTGGAGTCCAGAATCTCTAAGTTACATTACAAAGAGATACAAATATGTGGATAAGTAAACATATTTGTTATTTCAATATTCAATTTAATCTATATTAGCCTATGTTTCACTTTATAGGCAATGTACAGCTCTTAAATTCCAAGCTATTGAATGCCGCTTGAGACTCTTCTGGCTGTTGTGCATCTGAGAATGAGTGTCTGGAATGGCATTCCTTGACACTGAAAACTTGAGAACACATATTACCATGAGGAAGCCCTCTAATCAGTCAGGAATGATGGTGGTCTTGGAAGACCTCCTGGTAGACATGACTCTTGAACTCAGTTGTGAATGACAAATCAGAATAGCAGGAGAGAGAATGTTAAATGGAAATAAGGCAATCTCAACAGAGATAACAGCATGTGTATAGCACAGGTTGAGAAGTAAAGCGAGCAAAGAGGGTAATGAATGGAAAAAAGAAGCCAGGAGAGATGGGATCTAAGGAACAGGTGGAGATAAGGCTGTATTCACAGGAGACAAAAATGGTTTAAAGGAAGAGATTCTCCTGTAAATGGGAAGAAGAGAACGGAGAGAGTTCAAGTTTATGATTGCTTTATTTTTTGAACTCTTCTCTCTCCTGAAGCCATGAGCTAGGAGAAGGGCAAGGGGTGCAAGGAGTGTGTGTGTGTGTGTTGGAGAAAGTGTTATATGGAGGATGGGGAGCAACATATTTACCTTCCACATGAGTTTTTATTGATACCAAGATGAGGTAAGTGGAACTCTGGTGTCCATCTGTGGGTTTGAGTCCAATAAGCTTTCTCTTTTACATTCATCTTATTTAAATCTTTGCTGTCACAGTGAAGAAATAATTCAGAAAACGTATAAAGGCAATTGAATTTAACACAGATTTTATTGCCCTATAACCAGTTATGATATGACCAGTGGATACCAATGAAACTTCTTCATTATTTGAGTCTGAAAATGCATATTTAAAACATTAAATGATTGACTGTGTGCCAAGCTCTGTGTGCAGGCATATTTCATATCTTAAAAAGGCTTACAATTCTTTCAGGGAAGCAAAAGCAAAATCTATGATTAGAGGTTAGCCAATAATGTCATGAAAATGCCATGAGAATAGAGAGAGGAAATAAAATCATAAAGATATAAATAAATGTATTTGAACTACAGTTGATGTATTTTCTTAAATTACTTCTATATCATATGCCAGAGGGCCTTCAATGGAAAATCCTAGGTAGAAAGACACTCTTTCTATGTTCCTACCACTTCTGAGTGGACCTGAATAAACAGATATTACCGGTATTTTAATTTTTTCCTCTGTTCCGTATTCTATAGAGATTAGCTTGCCTTCAGCCTGACCAATTAGACGACACAGGAGGTGTTTGACTTCATTTTTTTTCCACACATCCCCACTGTGCCAGAGGGAATTTGTATTTTGTACTTTATCAAAGTACTGCTCTATTTCGGCCTTGTGAACAATACTGTTGAGACCCCTCCTTTTGCCCAGATAGAAAAGTGTGCTTGCCTGCTTGGACCTGCACATGCGCTTGTACTGTCCCCTGAAGGATCTATTTAAGGATGAAACATACTTTTCTATTAGTTTGGAATCTTGATCTAGCTCTTGATTTTCTGGCCAGAACAGGAGGCAGGCCAAGAAATAAGGGTCTGGATATTGATGACTTAGTCCTACAAATTGCAAGACCTCTCGGAGTTGCTTTTTTAGCATGGTAAGTGGTTGAATGAATCTGGAACTGGGCTTTAGACAACTGAGAATAATGTTGGCCAAAATGGAATTTTGTTTCTCATTTGTCATGCGCTTATTTGAGTTTTGCTTCAGCAGGAAGGCATATTCATCCACTATAATTTCCATGGTGGTTGCAGCATTTTTGAAGTTTGGATTAAGATATTCCAAGAGTCCAGCAAACCTATCTGCTCTCAGAGCTTCTAGCTTTTTCCTGCAATTCTCCTCCTGGAATAATTGACTCTCTTTACTTTGTAATAGACATGGATCCAAATGACAGAAAAGTTCTGTGTATTTCCTGAAACAACGACTGACTTTCTTGCTTAACGTGATTTCCACGATTTCTTTTTGGGTATACCTCATTTTCAGAAGAACCATATAATCAATAAAAAAGTCAAAGCACCTTTTCAGATCTGATTGTAAAGTTTTTAGGTGGGATGTGAACTTGCTAAGAGCCAAATAATATTCGTTTCTGGGATCAGGAGGAATGGTCCATTTTCCTGATAAAAATTGCACCATAGTTTTTATGGATAATTCATTTTCTTTGTGGAAAAAGGGAGTGAGCTGAAGAATCTGGATAGTGTAAAGACCAACTTCTATTTCACCCAAGAAACAAGCTGTATTATACATGTCATATCGTCTCTGGGACTTCTGTGGTGACCATTCCTCGGTTTCATAGTTTTTACTATCAGTTTGCCTTTGGGATTCTTTGAAAGCTCTTGAGGCTTTTTCGGCAGCTTCTAGGAGATGTGTTAGGTCATTAACAGTAATGCTCCTACAGTTTTTGTTCCCATCCAACCACCATTTGATTTCGCTTTTGTAGACTTGACCAAGGGTATCTGAAATATAGGAATTTTTAGGTGCTTTCATTTTGGCCTGACGTGCCCAGTCCAGAGCCGTGTTAAAGTCCTTCTCTTTGATGTAGAAATGTCTTGCTAAGGCTTGACAAATGAATGCATTTTGTGGGAATCGTCTGCTTCCTGCACTCAAGACCTTTTCAATGTCTTTATTCTGTAAAGCTTCCATTAATGGGGAAAACAAAGTGTCTGTTTCATCTCCATATTCCTTGCGCTGTCTTATAAGCAGAAGAGTTTGAACATCATGTTGAAATTTGTCTCTTCCTATTCCAGAATCATAGAATAAATTCTCGTCTAATATATTCAATGCAATTTGACATTTATCCAAGTGATAGCTTCTTTCCAGTTCTTTTAGACAGTACAGGGCAATCAGAGGGTGAATGACACGCACACCTGTGTATCTCCCATATTCTGCAACTTCTGTTTTTATTAGAAGCGTAGAATAAGTTCCCATCTTGTCTTCTAAGCTTTCAGGTTCCCAGGGTGTACTAGTGTATATGATTCCCAAAAATATTTCACACTGTGAAACTGAAATTGTAGAATCAGTGACATAAGAGTTGAGTAAAGCCAGGAAGGAAATGAGTTGTGCTTCCTTGCTGTCAACATCCTGTCCTTTTAGGATATTCCTGACTACATTTTCTATATATGTTTCATCAAAATTGCTTTTCATGATCATGAAGGAATAAAAGTTTTCACAGTTCTTGTGCTGCTTTTCAATTTCCTTCAGTTTGGCCCCAAAAGCTCTTTGTTCCTTGGAAGAAAGTTGGTAATTTAGTGCAATACTGTCTGCCAATTTTGCACTTTCATCTGGATTCCGGGATCTCATGCAGTTTAAGATGATTACCAATGTTTTTTCATATCGCAAATCCTTCTCTGCTAAAACGGAATGGATGGCATTTTGTAGAAAGTAGACATTTTCTTGTTCTTCAAAATCATCCACAAGGAGGAGCACAGGAATGTAATCCTGATGGCTCTTTGCCTCATAGGTGACCAGATTGATCACTTGCTCTCCAATTTCTGCAAAACCAGTTGTTTTGTTTTTTAACACAGCACATCTGAAGTTTTTCTTTAAGTCCCAGAGAACATGCATAGCCAGTGTGGTACCCCCACAGCCTGGATGATGATAAAGATTGATGATTTTTGCAAATATTGGTTTAGGAGACTCTGCCCAGCACTGTATTAAATCTTTAAGCTTTTCATAACTGTCCCTTTTAACAAAATCTGAAGAATAGTTTTCAGAAGAAAAATAGAAGTTCCACCAGGATACTTTGCCACCTCGATAAAAGTGTTCTTCTTTTGATTTCTTAAACTCCAGGAATTTAGATTCGTCTTTCTCGATGTCTGTGTCTCCACACTCATTTTCACAGAGGATTTCTAGTGCAGTCAAGACATCCTCTTTCTTTTTCTCTAGGATAACTGAAGAAGATCCACGGGCGGGCAAAAACCTTCTTGATGACTGAGTCACCGATTTTAGTTTAAGGATAGTGCTGTTTACCAGTTCTATATTTAATGTGGAAATACTGTGGTTTGTTAATTCATCTTCCATCTTCATTCTTGTTTGTAGTAGATCTTTCCATCGTTGATAAATATGTGAATTCACAGAGATACACAACATATTTTCCATTCCTTTGAGAGCTTGATAGAAAGCCCAGAAAGTTTCAATGAGTGGATCTCCTGGACTTTCCACTGAAGAGAGTAATAGAAACACTACCAAAAATTTTCCTCTTGTCATTATATTTTCATCTGTGAGAAATAAAATTAGTTTCCTGACTTCTGAAGCTCTTTCTCTCTGCCATAAATGTGGTTCTAGAGGTTTATATATCTCGCTTTTCAGGTCTGATCTGCCATTGCAGAAAATCCAGCTGGGCTGTTGGTAAAGATTAAGAGCAGAAATCTTCTCCCTCATGTTAGTTGTCTTGTCTTCATACTGATTTGGAAAGTGAAGGTTTGCCACTCGGCTTTCTTTGTAAGCTTTGACCACTCCATTGATCACAGATTCAGGATCAAACTCCAACACAGCAAACCATTTAATTTCCTTTAAAAAATCTAAGTGCTTTATTTGGTTCGGATGGCATTTATTTGTTACAAGAATGTACCAGTCATAGTATGAATTATCCAGTGAGTCTCGGTTTCCTATGAGAAGTTTAACCAGCTTTAGTCCTTCACTCTCCTTCTTCATTGTCTTCATTCCATACTCTTCTTCAGCCTCTTTTCTAGATGCCACCAGTGACTTTAAATTTTGTAAAAATGCTTTGAAATCTACATCCCGTTGCTTGGAATTGGCCAGGATATCCCTAGAGCTAGCCCCTTCTCTTACAAACAGTGAAGGATTTTGGTTTTGTTTCCATATTTTATCTTTAAAAATTTGCATCTGAATGTAGAAATACTTATCTTTACATATAGAGTATTTTGGAATAATATCGACTTCAATGACAAATCTGTCAGATGGCATATTGTTCTGCAGAAGGACTTCCACAAACCTTGGCTCCCGAATACACTTCTTGGCTTGATTGATCTCACTTTCTTCAAAATACTTTTTGATCATTAGATTGAAGTGGTCGATGAAGGCATCCTTACTGGTGATTTTCACACCAACAATTTCTCCATGGGGTTTGTCCTTGACTCCAAAATGGATGGTGCCATTGGTGCGTGAATTCATACAAGCTGATGCAAATCGGAAGACTTCATTGCTGAATTTCATCTTAATGTCCGCTTCTGTGGCTGTTTCTGTGTTTGTGAGAGCTTTGAACTCATGTATTGGATCAATGAGATTGAGTGCTCCTGTTTCAGGTTGTAGAGTATAATGTTCTATGTAGCGATGGCTGTCATGGAACTGATCAAAAGGATATGGCATACAAGTCAATTGTTCAGGTTTTAGCTCACCCTTTTTCTTGTCTTTAGCATTTGCTACTTCTTCTAACACATTTTCTTTCACAAGAATTGATTCTCGTTCTTTGATATCTCTGACCTCTCTGGGATCATAATCAATATTGGATGACGTTGAATTTTCTTCTTCCTTTTTGGTCTGTTTTGGATCTTCTTGGTGTTCTCTTTTGGACGGTTTTGAATGATCTAATTGTCCAGGATCATGATTGTCACTTTCAGGGGACTTACTATTCAATTTGTTATACGAACGTTTTATCAAAAGTGCTGGACCCCGTGGTAGCCCCATTTCTATAAGGTCCTTCTCGGTTAATTCCTGCAGGACTAATCCTGTCACTTCTTCACTGAGCAGAATTTGTCCATATTGCTCATTAATCTTAAGGTCGTCAGTTACCCATTTTTTCACATGCTCTTTGGTCCAGTCTTTAATAATTTCAGGTAGAGATACTTGTTTACTCATATTAAAGCTTCAACTTCTTCCTGAGAAAAAAGCAATATAATAATATTTTAGAATTATACTGTATTATTAAGATCATATAGTCAATTATGTATACATTATCATACAGAAGATACGTATGTATATGTATAATATTGCTCAAGGCTGACTCTTAAAACTGCTTGATACTTACTTTAGCTGTTTTACCACCCTAATTCATACCCTTGTTTCTTCGGTGACTCTAATTGTAATTATGAAATAAGCTGTAGCTGCTAACTAGGTGACACGCCTTTTAGCCTTATAATAATTCTCCCTTTTAGCTTAACTTGGTGAAAGTTGGGTTTTTGTAACCTAAAACCAGAATCTTAAGTAACATAGAAATTGGTTCCCATAGCATATAGGAATATTGCAAATATACTTTAAAATAATGAAACTGGATAGGTAGAGGTGGGTTAAGGAACAGAAACCCACAGCTGACTATCTTTGTTACATAGTAACGGAGCAGTTGGTTAAATAATCATCTGTTTTCTTTTGGAACTCAAGCTGTTAGGCCACAAGGTTAGGGTTTGGAGGAACTTGGTAGCAAAATGTCAGGATAATTGATTTGATTGGCTAATTCTTGTGCTCTCAGGAGGTACCAGAAGAGACTAGCTGTAATTCAAGCTGGGCTCCCTGAAACTAAATACGGAACATAGTATGAGTTTTTAATTTTGTTAGAGCCATTTTCTCCCAAAATATTGATATGAGGCTAATGAAGATCCTATAATTATGTACTTTGATGAATGGCAAGAGCTGCCTATTTTGGACTCGTAGAACAGGGGTTCTCAACCTCAGTTAAACATTAGAATCACTTGGCGTTCCACACCTCAGACTGCATTAGTTGGTTGAGGGAATGAGGGTGGTGTTTTCAGGCATTAATACTTTTAAAAATTTGCCTTGGTGCATCTATTGTGCAGATAAGACCAACAGCAGTGGTTCTCAAGGTGTGGTCTCCAGACCAGCAGCATCAGCATCACTTAGAAGCTGGCTAGAAATGTAAATTCTCAGGCCCCTACTTAGACCTACTGAATCAGAATTTAAAAGGTAAATCAATTAATTAGTTTAAGTAAACAGAAAACCCAGAAAGTGAGACTATTTTAAGGATAGACAAAACAACATTAAAAGATCAAATGAAACAAAAATACTAGACTAAACTATAAAAAGAGAAAATACAAGCATTTTAAACTAGGGGTCCCCAAATCTGGTGACCTGGACCAGTATCAGTCTCTAACCTGTTAGAAACTGGGCTGCACAGCAAGAGGTGACTGGCTGGCGGGTGAGCTGGCAAAGCTTCATCTGTATTTACAGCTTCTCCCCATAGCTTGCATTACTGCCTGAGCTCCACATCCCGTCAGATCAGTGATGGCATTAGTTTCTTATAGGAGTGAAAACCCTGTTGTGAACTGTGCATGTGAGGGATCCAGGCTGCACACTCCTTATGAGAATCTAGTGCCTGATGATCAGTCACTCTCTCCCATCACCCCAGATGGGACCATCTAGTTGCAGGAAAACAAGCTCAGGGCTCCCACTGAGTCTACATTATGGTGAGTTGCATAATAATTTCATTATATGTTACAGTGTAATAATAATAGAAATAAAATGCACACAAAATGTAATGCCCTTGAATCAACTCAAAACCATTCCTCACTACCCCGTGGAAAACTTGTCTCCCATGAAGCCAGTTCCTGGTTCCGAAAAGGTTGGGGACTGCTGTTTTAAACGATTTGTAATTTTTAGGTTCCTTAGCTTTAAGGAACCTAAGTTTTTTAAAAAAATTTAATGTACAGCCAGTGACAAAGTCTAGCCAAACTGCAAATTTGAACCATCTGTACTTGGAGCTTCTTGGAAAAGTTCACCAGAAAGTCCCCTTGAAATTATGCATGGAGAATAAGCTAAACTGGGGCTTCAACTTGCAGCCCTGTGATTGGCCACAGAGGAAACTTGCACTACACATTTGTGGTGTGAATACTGTATTTGCACCAGGATGATTTACCCCAACTATAGGCATGCATCCACTGAGCCTAGCAGCTTCCACTTGCCTTGATAAAACTGTTCCTGGTTGTCTTAGTGCCTTGAATTCTCTTTCTTACTCTGGCTTCAGTCTGCGGATCACAACTAGTCCTGGGCCAATTAGCAGAACCATAAGCAACTGGCACAATGAACACTATAAACATATTTTAGGTAATCAATTCAGTTCATCTGCAGTGTAGACAGAAGTCACTTGTGGGTCTTAGGAGGTCCCACAAAAATTAGCCCATATATTGTAACTAGACATAAGTGTTATTTATCTTAAATAGTGTAATCTGTTCATTCATTCAACACATATTTAATGAGCACCTATTATGTACCAGGCATCATGCTCAGGAAAAACAGTGATAATCAAAACAGATGTGAAGCTCTTTCATGATATTTATTGTCCATTGGAGAAGATAAAAAAATGAAATAAGTCACACACATACACATACACACACACGCACACACACTCAAAAGTTTATACTGACAGTGTGGTAGTGCTTTTTGTCAGACACAGGAAGGAGTCTAGGCCTGGGATATGTGAGGAGGAAGAGGGTGGGAACACTGGACAGGTGAAGTTAAGGGAACTGCTGGAGTCATGTGAGAGGCAAGTGAGGGAGAAAGCCTGGAGGACAGAGTTAGGAAATAAGAAATATCTACCTGGTGGACCTGCCAAAGGCTCCTTTAGTGGGTCTAAGGGGTATGACATAGTGCTGTTCCAGCAGTGGGCAGTTCCTACTCCTGTACCCAGAGCCAGAGCACTGGGCCTGCCATAGAGTACTCCTGGGCAGATGGAGCCTGGGAACCTGGTAAGCTCATCCCTGATCTTCCCATCTGCCCTGCAGAGGCCCTAAGTGTCATCTCTGGTAAGATTGACAGAGGGGCCCTGCCTCACCTGTTTACAAGCATTATATAAAACCAATAGTATAAGCAGTTATTAATAAACATCCTTAATGAAAATTTTTTTGAAGTCATTACATATGAGATAACTACCATAGTATTTTAAACTTTAGTCTTAAGATATTTCATACTTTGAAAATTTGCTGAATACTTACTTTTTATGTATTTTATACATTTTTAGACGTTTTAATACATTTTGTATTAAAATGTAGGAAGCTGAAGGGAAGAGGACCCTTGTGTCCTCAGATACCATTTCTGTCATAATTATTGGTGGCTCAATAGACATGTCATTGATTCTTCCAATACAATGGCCTCTCACCCGATTGGCTTTTATCTTGACATCAACTCACCTCTATTCCCATGGTCATATCCTTGACCTTACCATTACTATTATGGATTGAATTATATCATGCCAAAATTCGTGCGCTGAAGTCCTAACCTCCAGCACCTTAGAATGTGACTTTATTTGGAGACAGGATTGTTGTAAATGTAATTAACTGACATGAAGTTATTATAGTGGACCCTAATCCAATATGACTGAGGTTTTTGTAAAAAGGGGAAACTTGGGCACAGAGGCTTGCTTACACACAGGGAGAACAGTATATGAAGACGAAGGCAGAGGTCAGTGTGATGTTTCTACAAGCCAAGAATCATCAAAGATTGCCAGCATGCTACTGTGAGAGGCATGGAAGAAATTCTCCCTGGTAGCCCTCAGAAGGAACCCACCCTGCCAATACCTTGATCTTGGACTTCTAGTCGCAAGGATTCTGAGATAATACATCTCTGTTGTTGAAGTGACTCTGTGCTACTTTGTTATGGCAGCTCTAGCCAACAAATACAGTTACTGAGAACTACAAGCCCTCCATCCTCTCTGTTTCAAACACTTCCCTGTCCCTACCGTCTCTTGCCCCTCAGGCCCACTGCCTTTAGTGCTCAAACACTAGTACGTATTTCTTTAACACTAACACCTTCGATCTATGGATTCTACTACCATCTCACTTTTCCTCACTCCGTTCATGTTTCACTTTTCCTCTTTTACTGGCTTAATATTTTTTGAGTATTCATCATCATCACTTATTTTTCTCCTCTCTGGTACACTCTCACAGTTAAACTACGATGCTAGTTACATCCACCACTCAGTCGCCAACAGCTTGTCAGAGCATGGCTGGAGATGGCCCTCCACACCCTGACTGGAACATGGCTGGACAATGGCCCTCCACACCCTGACTGGGACATGGCTGGTCAATGGCCCTCCACACCCTGACTGGAACATGGTTGGACAATGGTCCTCCACACCCTGACTGGAACATGGTTGGACAATGGGCCTGCCTCCACATGCTGGACATTATGGCCCTCCACACCCTGACTGGACATGGCTGGCAATGGCCCTCCACACCTGCTGGACATGGTTGGACAATGGCCTCCACACCTGACTGGACATGGTTGGCAATGGCCAACTGACTGTAGCATGTTGAACAGTGGCCCTTCACACTCTGACTTGAGCATGCTGGACAGTGGTCCTTCACACCCTGACTGGAGCATGCTGGAAAATGGCCCTCCACACCCTGACTGGGACATGGCTGGTCAATGGCCCTCCACACCCTGACTGGAACATGGTTGGACAATGGGCCTCCACAATGACTGGAGCATGCTGAACAGTGGCCCTTCACACCCTGACTGGAACATGGCTGGACAATGGCCCTCCACACCCTGACTGGGACATGGCTGGTCAATGGCCCTCCACACCCTGACTGGAACATGACTGGACAATGGTCCTCCACACCCTGACTGGAACATGGTTGGACAATGGGCCTCCACACTGACTGTAACATGTCGAACAGTGGCCCTTCACACTCTGACTTGAGCATGCTGGACAGTGGTCCTTCACACCCTGACTGGAGCATGCTGGAAAATGGCCCTCCACACCCTGACTGGAATATGGCTGTACAATGGCCCTCCATAACATGACTGGTCTCACCTTAATGCTCTCAGCTACCATGCTTTATTTTTTTCTCTGCTTTAGTCAACCTCTCCACTTGCAGTAGTCACTCTCTTATTCTCCTAAATGATCATTTCATCGTTTCTCCTCTCTCATCAAACCTACAACACCTCCTCACCACAGTCACCTTGCTTCCTGTTTAAACTGGCAGAATTGAAGGAATCCAAAGAGAGCTTCTCCAAACTCCTGAAACCACATCTACCCATCAACCTGCTTCTTCACTTTTCTTCTGTTACTACATCATATGTTAGTTTCTGTTCTCTGCCTAGTGAGAGAACGTATGCCTAGTGAGGTCAAGCTCTCCACTTGCAGTAGCCCTTGTATCCCTCTCACCTATTCAGGAAGTTGCTCCAGAAAGTATCCCCTCTCTATTTGGCTTCTTCAGTCTTTCCTCATCTACTAGATCTCCTTCAGCAATCAAGCATGTTTATGTTTTTCATGTTAAGCAAGACTCTTTGGAAACTACTCTTACCCACATTTCTGCTTTTCGTCACAGTAGATCTGTCTACACTTTCCGTTTCCTGTTTCTCTTCTCCCACTCACTTTAGAAGTCACTCCAATCAGGCCCTCACTCCTCCACTGAAATTGCACTTGGCATTGCTACAGACAGTTCTTGACAGAGCAACAGCACTTGAAACAAGTGATTGCTCTCTTTTCCTTGGATCACTCTCCTTGCAGGCTTTTGGGACACCACCTTTCCTGACTTTTCCTCTTCCTTTTCTGGCTAGTCCTTCTCAGTTTCCTCTGCTGGTTCTTCCTTAACTCTCTACCTCTAAATGTTGAAGTGCCTCTCAGACCTAGCCTCTTTTCTATCTAGAGTTCTATCTAGAGTTTCTCCTTATGAATCTTATCTATCTTGCATTTAAATGAAATCTATATGCCTGTGACTTCCATATTAACATGATCAGGCCTGGCTTCTGCCATGATGTCCATATATCTGCCTTCTCTATGTTCACCTAGATATATGACAGTCCTAAAACTAACATAGCCAAAATCGGTCTCCTGATATCTGCCCCTCCCACTCCAAACTTGCTCCTCCCACAGTCTTATAAGTTAATGGAACTTGTCAGTTGTTCAAGGCAAAAACCTTGGCAGCATTTTTGACTGCTTTTTTTTTTTCCACTCATTATATTAGCAAAAACTTTCAACCACACCTTCACAGTATATCCAGAATTCCACCCTTTCCCACTATCCCTACTGCTACCACTCTGTTCTAGGCCATCATCTCTTTCCTGGATTGTTTTTGTTACCTGGTCTGACTCTGGCTTTGCCCCACCCCCATGCCATTCACTCTATTTTCAACACAACAGCCAACCTGATCCTGTTAAAACATGCAAGTGTGATCATGTCACTGACTCTTAGTCAGTGTCCTCTGCTCAAAAATTTTATCTGACTTCTCATCTCACATGGAGTAAAAGCCAAAGTCCTTAAATAAAGTCTGACATGATATGTCCACCCCTCTGTCTTTTTGACCTCATTACTTCTGCTCACTTCCCTCCAGCTGCCCAGTTGTCTTGCTGTTCCTCAAACATGCCAGCCATGCAGCTGCAGGAGGCCTTTACACTACCTGTTCCCTCTGCTTGGAATGCTGTTCCTCCAGATGCCAACATAGCTCACACCCTCACCTTTTTAGCTCTTTACTCAAATTCAATAAGGCCTTTCTTGCTCATCTTTCTTAAAATTTCAGTCCTTACTCTAGCACTTTCCATTGCTCTTCCCTGCTTCAAGTTTTCACTTTAGATTTATGTACTATACATTTTACTTAATTATATTTCTCATTCTGTGTCAGCAACTGGAATATAACCTCCATGAGAAGAGGCATTTTTGCCTGTCATTCATGCATGAATCACCAGGGCCTGACATAAAATAAGCACTCAATAAATATTTGTTGAATGAGGAAATTAACGTTTTTAGATTAGTGAAACAATTGAATTGCATTTGGGAAATATCTTCATGTTGTCATCGATGAGACGAAAACCAACTCCAGCATCTGGGTTAGCCAGTCATAATTAGTAAGAAAAGAGTTTACTTTTCAAAAAGAAAAGTCAGTAAGCATTTTATTCTTCATCTAACGGGCAAATTAGAGAGACTTGATGTCCTATTGTAAGCTCCAGTTTCCTAACACTTCTCCTCAGGTTTTGATGTCTCACTTATAGTCCCTGAGTGAGCATTTTTCTCAGATAGGGTTTTCCCCGGAGGAGATCTCTTTCTACCCTCGGTCCTCAGTGAGCCGGAATCCCAGGGCTTCAGGGTCACCCTCCACTGTTTTAACTGCTGTTGCTGCTCTGGGCAACAAACCCTCCTCTGGAGATGCTCTTACCGTGCACCATAGACTGGCTCTGTTTAGGTGTGAGGCAGTATCTTCTCCTAGCCAGTGTCCTCTCTCAGTAATTCAAGCTACCCATCCTTTCTTTGGGTCACCCCAAATACTGTAAGGAAGAACTTTAGATTTTTCTCTTCTGTGACTACAGCAATTCTGATAGACCCCAGCCCTCTACAAGAAGCAGCATTTTAAGAATTTCCTGCTTAGCAACCATTACATGCCCAGAGACACTGTGTGTGCCGGGTGGTGGCATGGGGGATAGCAGAGGGCTTGTCTTTGTGTCTTTGTGTTACCTGATAGCATGACAGCTTCCCCTCACTTTCTTCTTTATTGATTGACTTCTGTCAGGAACTACCAGGGAGATAGAAACACCCTTCTTAAACAGGGTGACTGGCATCTGTGCTTCTTAAGCCTTGAGTCTTTGTCTTTACCTTGTCTTAGAGGTTTCCCAATGGTTCAAAGATAAAAACTCCACACCCTGACTGGAACACGGCTGGACAATGGCCCTTCACACCCTGACTGGAGCATGACTGGATAATGGCCTCCATACCATAACTGGTCTCACCTTAATGCTCTCATCTACCATACTCTATTTTTCTGCTTTACTCTCTCTCTTATTCTCCTAAATGATCATTTCATTGTTTCTCCTCTCTCATCAAACCTACAACACCTCCTCACCATGGTCACCTTGCTTCCTGTTTAAACCAGCAGAATTGAAGGAATCCAAAGAGAGCTTCTCCAAACTCCTGAAACCACATCTACCCATCAACCTGCTTCTTCACTTTTCTTCTGTTACTACATCATATGTTAGTATGATAACATATAACATAAAAATATTTCTTAGCCAGAATTCCACAATTTCCCACCCCTATGTTGGTAGCTGAGAAGATATATAACAACTTGAAGATATTATGTATTCAATATTACTTTCATGTGAATTTTGCCCTCTGTCAATTATAAGCATCTTATATGGTCTATAATCCATATGTAGTCGGAGCTGTTATTTAATTCAGGTGACGATGATTTGGGCAACAGATTTTCATAATGCTTTGACATAACTCTTTGGCTCTTTCTGTGACTTCAACCTTACACCCTAGACTGCAAGCATAGTTTTAAACATGACGGCTTTCATGTTTAGCAAAAAGCTACATAGTATGTAGAAAGGTGGAAGAGTTGTGATCAGAAAAATGATGTCATGATTAAATTATGTCTCCTCTCAGTGAGCCTGTTTTCCCACTTATAATATATGAAAATCAGACCAGAACTGATGTTGTCTTAGTTGTTGCTTGTTTTTGTTCTGCTTCTTCAAAAGAAATGCACCTGAAACCGCTGTATCTAACATGGGTAAAGGTGTAGCTGCTCTGGTTGGAGCTGGGGAGAAGACCTTCACTTTAAATCTATTCTGTTCTGGGATAATTTTGAAACACAGAGTTCTCTTTATTTGTACACTGGGCCCTCCCTATCAGTGGGTACCACATCGTGGATTCAACCAACCACAGATTGAAAATATTTGGAAAAAAAAATTGCATCTGTACTGAAAATGTACAGACTTGTTTTTGTTGTCACTATTCCCTAAACAATACGGTATAACAACCATATAATATGACATTGTACTAGGTATTATAAATAATCTAGAGATGACTCAAAGTACACAGGAGGATGTATAGGTTATACGCAAATATCTTGCTATTTTACATTAGGGATTTGAGCATGTATAGGTTTTGGTATCTGCGCAGGTCCTGGAATGGATCCCCTACAGACAATAAATTTCAGGATCTACTGCCTAAGGACTATTATTTTTCTCTCTTTAGAGACTAAGCAGGAAGGATCAAACTGGCCTGCCCTTGGCAAGCTCTGGTGCTCACCCTCATGTTTAGGAGGCTGGGCCTCACTGGGCTCACTCACCTCACTGGACTCACTCACTCACTCACTCACTCACTCACTCACTCACTCACTCACTCACTTTCCTACCTCCAGGAAAGGCTGCTCAGAATCCCAGCTGCAGCCCAGCAGGCCCACCTCTGCTCTGATGCTCTGTATAACTGAAACTGCAAAGTAAAAGTTAGTTTTATTTTCTTGAAGTGCATGTTCAAATTATGTATTTCTTCCCATAGTCTCTATACAAGCTATTGTGCATAAAAGTCTTACATAAAATGAAGGCTAAACCTTGGAGGGTTTTATTCTTTAATTAAATGTAATTTATAGGACAGAGTATGGCATAGCTGCACATGGCTACAATTTTCGACACGGTTTTGTATGCTCGGATTCCTGATCTTCTGGTCTACGTTTTACTCAGGTTTTTTAGCCTCACCCCCAGAGCTTTCCGCCTGTAGAAATATGCTGCACCCTCGCCATGCTTGCTGGAAAGTTTCTTTTTTAAAAATTCTGCAATCAGCACAAGTTACATCTATTGATTCTTATATAAAAGTAGTGATATTTCTCATTCCTTTTATAAGAAATAGCTTATGCTCACTTGCAAATATGTTCATTTTCAAAGTTCTGTTTTACTTTTTAGAATTAGTTTTTAAAGACAGCTTTTAAGGAGAGTTGATTAAACAAACCTTTAATGAGTAGAAACTTACCAGGGCTTTTCTGAAAACTTCTCTCTTTATATTAGAAACATGAAATAAGTCTTCATGAGGCTGTTTGATCCGGATTCCTTAGATTAGTTCCCCTTTCTTGATGATTTGCCAAAGTCACGTTCTGGAAAGCAGCTATGAGGAAGCAGAGCTGTAGGCAGAACAGACTTGGTCCCGGTTCAGTTTGCCGGAGGATATACTTGTTGAGAACGTATTGCATAAAACAATGATATCACAACCAATTAAAATGCAATAGACTGGACTGCTGCTTCGGAAATGTTTGTGAAACAGATTCCCCCCCCCCCCGCCCAACTTTCTACTATGAAAATGTTCAAACACACAGAAAATTTGAAAGAATAGTGAAAAGAATACCCTTCTAGGTAGCATCTCTTTGTATACTTAAATACTTCTAAGAAAACAAATAAACCTCAAAAAGTATGTGGCAGGCACACTTTATCTCTCTTCCAGCATTCCACATTCAATGTAGAGCAAACCCTATGGGGTGTATCTTCAAAATATACCCAGAATTTGACTACCTATCACCACTACCACCTGGTCCAAACTCTCCTCTTCTCTCTCTTGGAGTATAGGAATAGCTTCCTTGCCATGTTCCCTCTTGCTGTTATTGATCCCTTCAGGGACTTCTCAAAAAAGCAGCCAGAGTGACCTTGTTAAAATGTAAATAACATATCAATGTTGTGTCCAACCCTGTCTGTGGCTTTCCATCTGACAAGGCCTCACACAGCCTGGTACCCTGTTAACCCTTTGATATTAGGTCTTTTATTTTTCCCTCTAAATCTGGCCCAGTCACCTGACCTCATCGTTGCTTCCTGAAGGAAGCACCTGCCCCTGTTTCCAGCCACTACAATTGTTTTCCCTTCCTGGAATGTCCTTGGATACCAGCAGGGTTCACTCTCTCACTTTGTTGCCATCTTTTGTCAAATGTCACCTTGTCAGCAAGGCACAGTTTGGCCAGCCTACTGAAAACTTTATCCCATCTCCCAACATTTCCTATCCCTTTTCTGGCTTCATTTTTTATCTACTTAAGACTTACAAGCAGCAAATATTTTATATATTTTAACCTATTTACTTTGTTTCTTTTCTGTCCCACCCATTATTCTATGCACTCCGTAAGGACAAATTTCTTTATATTTTGTTCATTATCTGGCATTGCCTAGCACATAATAGCTTCTTAACAAAAATCTGTTAAATGAGTAACACATTTTCTTAAAGTAATTAAAAGTAATGAATATTTGAAAGGCCTTGAGCTACCAATGTCTGTGGGTCGAAGGACTTCCTCATTTTCCTAGGGAAATTATTTCCCTTGGCTGGAACTCCAGATAGAAATCTGGGGAAATCACTTTACTGTGCTACCCATTAGGCCAGAACTAACTCCAGCTTCTATCATCTGGTCACAAAGAATGAAAAGGAAGTTTTTTTCAAAAGGAAAGCAAAATGAATGAACATATCTTCTCCTGCAGTTTTTGTAGATACCCTAGTTACAGAATACACCTTACCAACTTTCTGCTGTGTCACTTGCAGTTACCGAATGAGGCCATTTCTCACACTGCGTTTTACCTGGAGGAGGTCCCTTTTGACTCCAGGTCCCCAGTGTCTTAAGACCTCTGCTGTTTTCACCTGCTGCCTTTGCTGGGAAGCTGCTCTTCTGGCAAGGGGCTTACGTTTTCCACAGGCACAATCCGCTCGGGTGAGATGCAATACCTTCTTTTAGCCAGTGTCCTCTTTCAGAAATTTAACCAGTCTCTCTCTCTCTCTGGAAATCCTAAAGATGGAAAAAACAGACTCCAGAATTTTTCTTTTGTTTTAGCCAGGACAATTTTAAGAGCATCTGGATATATGCTGTTGGAACTAAGGAACAATCAAAATTACCATGATTAGTGTGGACAAATTTTGTGGTTGCCTTGACGTAAGTCTTGGCTTTCTAGGGGCCCTCAGTGTCTGTTTTGAAACAATTGTGAGCACAAATCTTATCTTTTGCAATGTTGGTTATTGACAAAGGAGTTGCAGGTTGCCATCCTCAACACTTCAGTTTTCTCTCTTTGATGTTCAGCAAGAAGTACCAAGTCAGCAAATTCTCAGGAACAAGCACAGCTGCCCACCCCATCTTTGAGAGACCCTCATGCCCTGGGGAGGTGTTCTGCTCTGTAGGATTCTTAGAACTGATGTAGGGAAAAACACTTCAGAATCTGGCTGTAGCCCAGGGAGCTACCCACACCCTCCTCGCATAGTCTGGCAGTCAGAAGCCACACAAGCAAGTTAGTTTCATTTTCCCGAAGAACACTTTGCATGTTTTTTTCTTAGTTTTCAACCAGATTGCTGTATAAGATATATGTGAATGAAGTACTTTAATAGAATAATATTTAGCCTCTGCAGAGTATTACCTTTGATAAAATGTAAAATTTTTAACGTCTTACATTATGAAGACAGAATTTTGTGTAATTACACAAGATCACAGGTTTTCCTTTAGAATCTTAAGTGCTTAAATTCCTGACCCTGTTTGCTTCGTTTCTCTGTCCTCTTTTCCAAAGCCTGCCTGCCACAATCAGAAACCCTCCCACCATCCTAATTACACTTAATGGTACGTTTCTTTTTAGAAGAGCACTTATAAAGTTATTATCAGTTAAATATACTGACATGTATTTAATCCATTGATTTTTCTAATTACTTTAGTATTTTTATAAGTAATGGTTTATGGACGAACATATAGCTATATAAAAAGTACAGCTGAAGTTTTAAAAAATAGCTGTCTCCTCAAAGGCATAACAAATAAAGGTTTAATGATTCAGTTTACTTACCAGGATTTTCTGAAAAAGTCATTGTTTTATATCAGAAACTTGGAACAGGCCATTTGAACTTTTGCTGTCTCATTCCTCATCTGATGGCTAGGAGATATGAGTGTAAGGATTCTTTTTTAAAAATCAAGGCATTAAATTGTGAGGTCTTCTGTTCTCCCAGTGCTCTTTCTGAGGGTGTGTCAGAGTGCCAGTACAGAAGCAGGAGGAAGTTGAAGTACAGAGAGTTTCAGTTTCGCTTTAGAATGTTCTTTTTTCTTGGGTTTAGAAGGATCTAAAATATTTTTTAATCAATAACATTACCAAAAATATCAATAAATTTGAACCACTGCTTGGAAACTATTTACCAGGCAGGTTTTTAAGTCATAAGAGTTAAGAAATAAGGAAACAACAAACAAACAAACAAACAAACCTAACTATTCAAAAAACTACCTACAGGACAAAGAGAATGGAAATACCAGGGAGAAAATCAATATGTCAATGCAATCTAAGTTCCTGTTACTGGTTGAATTGTGTCCCCCAAACATTCATATGTTAAAGTCCTAATCCTCGGTACCTCTGAATGTTACTGTATTTGGAGATAAGGTCTTTCAGGAAGTAATTAAATTAAAATGAGGTCATTAGAGTGACTGTAATTGTATCTGACCGTGTCCTTATAAGAAGAGGAGATTGGGACACAGACACATATAGAGGGAAGATCATGTGAAGACACAAAAAAAAGATGGCCGTCTACAAGCCAAGGAGAGAGATATCAGAAGAAACCAACCCTGATGGTGTCAGAGATGTTCTAACCAGAGCAACTCCATTTTGAATGAGGGCTACGAAAATGAGGCTGAGACTTGTTGGGCTGCATTCTTAGAAAGGTAGGCATTCCTAGCCTCTAGATGTTTATTATTAAGGGCACAAATTAATAATATTTACTAAACAGACCCTGACTTGGGAGTGTCCAGATATCTGATATCTGGAGAACAAAGGCATTCCTAATTTTGCTTTAAAGAAAATAATATCGATTCTTGCAAAATATATTAATTAAGAAAATTAATTCTTTATCAGAAACCCTTGTAGCAAAACACATCTCTCCATATATGTAAGCATTGTATGGGTGGATGTGTTCCTCCTCTTACTTTTGGGAACGTCCTACTCTGTAGCCAGACAACTAGCTATTATCTCTGGAGAAGCCTTGGGTAGCCCTTGACATGGCAGGTAAGAACATTAATTCCTTCTGGATTGCTTATTCTGTTCTGACCCATTATGATGGGTCTCTGTCACCCCAGAACTGTATGGTCATGGGGATAGATGGACAAGCCCATAGATGCCATTTTGCCTATCCTTTAAGCTGCTCTTCAGGGACCTTGATTTTCTCCTGAATGCCCCACCCCTTGTTGGGGAGGGATTTGTTGACTCAGTTTCGAAGAGTAGTATCTTTAGGAAATCACAAGGCAGACTAAAATTGCTCCTTCTTCTTTCCCGTGAATAACTATCAGGCTTTGTTGCTAAACATCCTGATATAACACTTAAAGTACGCCGTATGTTGAATCCAACTACCTATTTGCCTGAACCCACAGGCATCCTACGTTATTCTTTTACCACTGTACTTTCTTAATAAACTTGCTTTTACTTTGCACTGTGGACTCGCCTTGAATTCTTTCTTGGGCGAGATCCAGGAACCCTCTCTAGGGGTCTGAATTGGGACCCCGGTCCTGTAACATTTCTGGCAACCATGAGGGACCGATACTGAAGAACCTCCCCACCAACCCAAAGGAAATAGACTACAGCACTGATTGGATGACTTTGGGTAAGTGGTGTTGTACCTGGGTAAAGAATGGGATTGGGTTAGAGGCTTAACTTAAGGGAATTAGAGTCTCTCTGAAGACAGGGTGGGTTAGAGGCCCCTCTTAATAGAAAGCAAAGACGCTTGACTGACCTCGGGTTAGAGGACCAACTTAAAAGGATTAGAGTTCCTTCTAAGATTTAGGGGGTTAGAGGCCTCTCTCAGTAAAGTTCCTCTCTGCTAAAAACGGATTTGGCACCGCAGGCTATGCTCTTTGTATTAATCTGCCTTGTCCTCCTTGCTGCATAAATCAATTTCTTGGTTGCTGTCTGTGTTTCACTGTCTTTTTCAGAAGACTTTATCTAAATGGTCTTAGGGATCTTAACTTACTCTTTTCCTAGGTGCTTCTTGATTTCCATGTGTCTGCTCGCGAAACATTGGGAACAAAAAGCATTGAAGGCTCCATCTTTAAAATTGCTGATTGAGATTTGGCATTCAACAGCTATGAGCAATAAAATTAGGCAGAGGTGGTTGTGTTTTGTTGCTGCTATGCTGACTAGGTGTGATCGAGAAGCACTAGGATGGAAATCAGGGGACTCTTCTCCTTGCTGTTTTGTTTCATTTTGCACACTAAAAACACTTCTTTCCTTTCTTGCATTCAGGCAAACTGGCTTTGCTTGTTCATTCCACACTGTCACTATTGCCCAGGACCTGCTTGCTCTGGTCATTCTCATCTAAATCCTCTTCATTTCCTTTGCCTTATTCGACATTTTTGTCAAAGTCCATGTTGTGGTTTATCTGAGATTCATGACTCAGCTCACTTACGTTATCTGGATAATGTGAATCATGTTTGATGAGAGGAAAAGAGGAAAAAGAGCTAGACATACTAGATGATCCTTTAATGCAAGCAGCCTTGGTTTAGCAGGCAGTTTTGTGTGGAGCAGAACCTCTTTCTGTCAGCTCTGAAGGTTCAGATGTGTCTGTCCTTTCTCCCTCTAATCCCCCTTGAGAACCCTTCATCCCCTCCTCCTTACCCGTCTAGCCCCACTCTATACCCACCACTCCCTGAGGAACTTAGCCTGGTGAGTACTACCCCTAGTGGAGCCTCCTGTCAACCTCTAAAGGGAAACCTTTGTCCACTTAGAGAGGTGGTAAATAGGGAAGGAGGCACTGTGAGAGTACATGTTCCCTTTTTTATGTCTGATTTGGCTCTGTGTAAAGAGAAATTTGGTGATTTCTCTGAAGACCCAGGAAGATTCATAGATGAGTTTGAGAAATTAATTCTGACCTATAGTTAACTTGGCAGGATCTGCATGTTTTGTTGTCTCTGTGTTGTACAGTGGAAGAGAAACAATGCATTTTGGGGACAGCTAGGGCCCATGCAGATGAGGCATTGGCTCACAACCCAAACCATAATACATATCAGGCAGGCGGTAGAGCAGTTCCAGATCAAGATCCAGAGTGGAACTATCAAAGGGGCAGTGACAACTTGGGGAGAAGAGATCATATGGTCATTTATTTGTTGGAAGGGATGAAGAAATGTATGAAAAAGCCTCTTAACTATGAAAAGGTTAAGGAAGTTTCCAGAACAAAGACGAGAATCCAGCTTTGTTTCAAGGACATTTAGTTGAGGCACTTAGGAAGTATACTAACACTGATCCTGCCTCAAGGGACAGACAAACCCTTTTGGGAGTGCATTTTATAAGCCAGTTTGCCCCTGATATCCATAGGAAACTAGAAAAAGCAGCTATGGGTCCCCAGACTCCCATATGGGACAGCTTTTGTATGTGGTATTTTTAGTTTTTAATAACAGGGACAAAGCAGAGGAAGCAGAAAGAGTAGGAAGGACCTCCCACAAGGTGCAGCTCTTGGCTGCAGCCTTAAGCTTACCTCCCACATGGGGTTGCCCTCCTGGTTCTTGGCCTGAACAAGGGAAGCTGAAAGGTGAGAAGTCAGAGTCACTGTGCCTTGGGCATGAATCAGTGTGCACACTGTAAGAAAGCTGGCCTTTGGAAGAGGGATTGCCCAGCACGCTGAAGGGAGCCATTGGCACCCGAACCAGTGATGGCCAAAATAGCCAGGCAAGCCCAAGAGTGACTGGGTCTGAGACCTCCCAGCACAGCTCCCATCAGACAACTAGCTATTATCTCTGGAGAAGCCTTGGGTAGCCCTTGACATGGCAGGTAAGAACATCAATTCCTTCTGGATTGCTTATTCTGTTCTGACCCATTATGATGGGCCTCTGTCACTCCAGAACTGTATGGTCATGGGGATAGATGGACAAGCCCATAGAAGCCATTTTACCTATCCTTTCAGCTGCTCTTCAAGGACCTTGATTTTCTCCTGAATGCCCCACCCTTTGTTGGGGAGGGATTTGTTAACTCAACGGCGAAGAGTAGTATCTTTTGGAAATCACAAGGCAGACTAAAATTGCTCCTTCTTCTTTACTGTGAATAACTATCAGGCTTTGTTGCTAAATATCCTGATCTAACACTTAAAGTACGCCATATGTTGAATCCAACTACCTATTTGCCTGAACCCACAGGCATCCTACATTATTCTTATATACAAGTTACGGAGCAAGTTTATTCCAGCTGTCCAGATTTAAAGGATGAGCCTTTAGATAATCTTGAGGTAGAATGGCTTACAGATGGAAGTAGCTTTGTGCACCACGGAAATGGAAAGCTGAGTATGCCGTTGTCAGTCAACAGGAGGTAATTGAATCTCAGGCCTTTCCAGCTTCTACCTCAGCTCAAAAGTCCTGCAATTGGGAACGGACTTAAGAATTAACATTTACACTGATTCTGAGTATGCCTTTCTGATACTTCATGCTCATGCTGCTAACTGGAAGGAATAGGGACTCCTAACTGCTAAGGGTTCCCCTATAAAACATCACTTAGAAATTCTGGGTCAGGCACGGTGGCTCATGCCTGTAATCCCAGCACTTTGGGAGGCTTAGGAGGGGTGGATCACCTGAGGTCAGGGGTTCAAGACCAGCCTAGCCAACATGGTGAAATCCTGTCTCTACTAAAAAATACAAAAAAATTAGCCGGGCATGGTGGCAGGCGCCTGTAATCCCAGCTCCTCAGGAGGCCGAGGCAGAAGAATTGCTTAAGCTTGGGGGGTGGAGCGAGCTGCGAAAAGAGGCTCTTCCCTTACTGTGACTAAGAGAAACTCTTTTGCAGATACGGCTGCTAAGGCCGCAGCATTAAAGGAGCCCCCAGCCATGATAATAATAGAACCAAGATATACTAAAGAGGAACAAGAGTGGACTGAAGGTCCATTGAAGGTCAGAGTCTAATTGAAGATCCTTCTGGCTGGCTTATCAATGACAACAAACTGTTGATACCAGGTGCTAATCACTGGAAAATAAGCATTTGCATGACTCTACTCATTTGGGAGGAGATTCCCTGTTTCAATCAATGTTG